CTATGAATATTTCTGTTTGCTTCATAAACAAACGTGCAGCTTTGATTGATAAATCAATGAAATTTAAATGTTGAAGCTCTTAAATTCAGATAATTCAATTGTCAGTTTTATCAAACACAGCTGGCCATATATTTAGGCACACTTTTGGCTATAAAAAAAGAGTGCAGAGTGAGAATTCAGCTTGATGATTATACGTGGATAAATACAATTTAGAATGCATTAGGATTTGTCATAAATGTTTGCAAAATGTTTTATTGAATATGCAATAAAACTTGTCGACAAATTCGAGCTGTCAGCGATGAGACAACAAAAGCCAAAAACACAACGTTTTTGGCAAATAATTATGAAATTCTAAACTATAATCAAAGCCAATGTTAGAGGATGGGGCGGGTCATGCGAGCGCTTGGATAAGCGCCAAGTGTGCTTAATGACAAAACTTTGCAAATCAGTAAAGCAGTTTATTGCCACACACACACTCACACACACTCGCACACTCGCACACACACTGATGCGCACGCACGCATCAAAGAGCAGTTAGATGACATACATATGATATATATGAAAACCTCATAATCACTTGCTGCGCAAAATGCTCATATCACAGCGGGTTGTCGGGTTGTCGGGTTGGCGGCTTGGTAGGATGTGGGCGTGGCAGCGACAAGCCCAAAAACTTTATATCTTGCGTGCAGCCAGGACAAACTCATTTGCACTGCATTAAAATTAACACAGAGCACAGAGAAAACAGAGAGAGAGAGAGAGAGAAAGAGAGGGGGGGGGGGGGGTGGAAAGGGAGACAGATACAGTTGTTGCTGGCATTGTTTGTGGCATGGGGCATGACAAGTTCCTGCTGCATTTCCGCAGCAGCCGCCGCAACAAACGCAAAACACGCTAAAAAAGAAAATATGTGTATGAATATTACGTATACGCCGCGTCGTACAGCAACAGTTTTTGTATATATTTCGGCACAAATAAGCCCGTGCATATTTGTTGCTAAGTCAACAGCAAAACCAGCAGCAGCAACAACAACAACTGCAATCCACATCAGCTTGTTAAAGTCACGGCCCCGCAAACAAAATTGAATTATTTTTCGAAATTTTCACCATTTATGCATAATTAAAAACTTTTGGCCGTGACAGCGAACTAATCAGCGATGAAAATTTTACCGTTGCAAATTGCTTTAACAGTTTGCTAAGCAGCTGCCACGCCCATGCGCCCGCTGTTAATATTCAAATTATAATTTCAATCAGCTTGTCGCACGTAAAACAAATTTCATACGCCCCGTTGGCTCCACAGCAGAAGCAGCAGAAGCAGCAGCAGCAGCAGCAGCTGCGAAATTGTTATTTGTTTATTTATTGTTGATGTTGTTGCAGCTGTCAAGTGGCAGCTGCAGCTGCCGCTGCAATGTTGCAAAGTCAACAGCAATTTTCGTAAGAAAATAAATAAATGTGTCAGCTACGTTCGAGACGCAGTGTGAAGGAAATGAAGTTTAATGTAATTCTCTTTCTAAAAAATCAGTAAATATTTATTGAAGACATCAATAAAATACAAGCTTAAAATTTAATATTAATTCAATTTTATATTAACTAAAATTCATTTTATAATTTATAAATAGGAAATAAATAATTTCAAAAGCCGAAAGCCGAATACCCTTACAGGCTATAGCATTGACTAAAGCATTTACTATAGGAGCTATAAAATATATAAGTTTTGCAGACATAGTTATTGCTGAACTTGATCAAAATAACTTGAAAAATATGTCGAAAACCCCTTTAGCCTGAAATATCCTATGATCTCTGTATGATATATCATTCCGATCTGGCGATCTAGAATAATATAAGCAAAGTTTTATGAAAAAACTAGTTGTAAATGGTAATTAAAGGGACTCGACTCTGTTGCTGATAATAAACAAGAAAATACTTTGTCGGCTCTGGAGAAAAAGACAATTTGTGATTAGAAAAAATCATTGCATTCTTACACATAGAAAGGTCTGGAAAAAGTGTTATACTTTTCGTCTAAATGCAAGAAATATCTAAGGATTCAATTCATGAGCTCCCTAAATAAGGTAAAGCTGATCAATAAAGTGATACTGTAGCCTTGGATAGCAGCACAAGCCCGTATGTTGGTATCCAAAGTCACAATCTCCCGAATTGGCTAGGAATGGAAGCAGCTCTGCTTTCTGAAGCCTTGATCCTTGCTCCAGCAGCCACAATATTGCTCGTCGAGAGATAGAAAAAGCGAGACATACAGACTGGGAATCAATTTAGGGCGCTTGGGTAGTTATGAATGGATGAGAACAGCTGTCCGTCTAAAAATGAGCAGAAATTCTCTTGGAATCAACGCAGTTTTTCTTACAAGGCATTGTATAAGTATTAAATAAGTCAAAGGTTGCGAAATATACAATCTTTCGAATCTGCCCTGAGAACGTCAAGACGCCAAAGTACAATATAGAGGAAATGTCCGGAAACTTGAGACTTGCTCACTTACTGACGTAAGTTTCATTATATAAGAATGGGAAGCTCTTGAATCAGGCAAGGACTGAAACATTAACTATAAATAGACGTAGTAAAGCCACAATAGAGCAAGAAGGTTGCTCTGCAAGTATTCAGCGAATAATAATAAAAAAGTTTTGAATACCTAAAAACTTTTAAAGTCCAAAAAATGTATGTAAACGAAATATGCTTGGCCAATATTGCTCAAAATTTTAGTTATAAGTCCCTTCGCTCTTTTGTACTCGCAGTTTTACTGTAGCCCTTATCTTATCAGAGGCCTAACTGTATTAACACCTAATTGCTTTTGTAGCTGCTTACTTTGGTGTTTACAGTGCAAACGCGACGGGGCAAGGCTATCAGTTGTAATACCTGCCATAGGCAGTTAAACACAGGGTGCAACCAAACACACCCCCAACTGCCGCACACCCCCCCCCCCCCCTTCCCCGCCGCACTCCCTGCAGCCGGCCTCAACAACATGCCGCAAACAATGGAGCTTAGCGCCCAGTTACAAGCTGCAAGTCAAGCAGCCGCCGGGCCAGCAGCAGCTGATGCCACAACTCACACACACACATATAGATGTGGGCGGGTGTGTGTGTGTGTGTGTGTGTGTGCAACTCCAACTGCAGTTCGTCGAGTTCAGTTGCAGGCCGGGGACAACGTGGCGACGCCTACGCTGAGAAAAATATGCGAAAATTTGCCGTTAAGAGCCGTAGCAAACGCGACTTGCCATGTGCCGTGTCCGGGGCAAAGTTTTTCCCGGCTGGCACAAGGCCAGGCCAGGACATTGTATGTGAGTGTGTGAGTGTGTGTGTGTGCGTGGGTGTGCGTGTTGGGCTGACAATAATCCAAAAGTTTTACAAGCAAAACGAGCGACCATTACATGGACGGGCGGGCAGAAACAGAAACCACTTGCAAGCAATTTTCATCAGCGATTTTCCCTTTTTTCTTCTCGTTTGGTCGGGCTTTTCCACAGCTGCCGCTGACAGGCACGATGTACGTTTTGCTTAGTGCCTGACCGCAACTAGAGCTCCCACAGCCTCCCACATTACTTCAACACAGTCTGCTCAAATCTCTGGGCAAACGCATTTAGCATTCGGCTGCAGTGCGGCCCATGTCCAGTTCCACATCCGGGCTAAAAGTTCATTGTCTCTGCTTGAAAAGGTAAACGTTTCGAGAGCAGCTCGATAAGAACCCAAAGCCAGTGCAACCGCAGCCAGATATGGATAGCTCAGCCTAGCAGAGTCCACTTTGCACTACTTACCATAAAGCTTAACCAGCTCCCGGGATTGAGAAGTCTGGACCAAAAGTTGATAGCTTTGCAAATGGAGTGTGGGCATATTCCCACACATTTGCCATGTTGTGACTATAGGGAAAAACAAACACGGAATCCAATTGCAGCTGGCAGCCCGTACAGTGAGATACACTGTTGACCAAGCCTGCAAGGCGGGCTTAACCGTAATGGTTTCATCCCGGAGTTGCATTATATATATATTATACTATTTGTATACTACAAGCCCAACCTTATGCCGTATTAACTGAAAGAACAGCCGAACAACTTAAATAAACTTATTTTAATTAATATATTTATTCTTCTGCACACAGATAATAACTGTTGTTTGATCTCTAAAGATATTTTTTATTTAGTTCAAAGCAAACAAAATTAATTCAAAAGATTTCACATAAGTTTTTCAAACGCAAAAGCCCATATACCCCTTACCTATCTAAAAAAAACAGTGTATTCAAATAGAAAAAAAATATTCAGAAAGTGAAAAATAGCAGTTTACAGTTTAAACTTGCCACAATGCAGATGTAAGCGCCGACGCCCACAGCCACGCCCACTGGTCAGACGCTTCGGTTACTTTCTCCAGCTGTTAATAAATTTAAAGTTTTGTTTGTAGTCGCTTGGCACAAGGGAAACTCGGGCAGCAAAATAAAAATTGAGCAGAAAACTGTGGCAGCAATAGACAACACACACACACACACACAGATATTATTTGTGTGTGTGTGTGTGTGTGTGTGTGTGTGTAGTTAAGTGGGTGTCTGTGTGTAAAACAGAAAGTTGAAACTTTCTTTAAACGTTGCTTGAATTGTTTCTCTTGTTTTTTCTCTCAACGTTGTTGCTGCGCTTGTCCAGCATTCACAGCAAGTCGCTAAAAAAACGCTTAACAGTCTGTGCACGAAGTAAACGTATGTGTGTGTGTGTGTGTATGTGTTTGGCAGGACATTTATTTGCTTTGTTTTGAAGTTTTTTTGCTTATGAAATTGGCGAGCTATACGACAATATCGGACGATATATGTATTTATGTATGGGTCCATTGAGTGTGGAACCAGATGAATGCAATAGGGATAGCAGAAAATTGCATGCGACATTTATCACAGTACTTGAAATCGTATACGGCGATATGGTTACAAAGTTCTTTTTTTTACATTCTAAAAGTTTTTTAAAAATTTTTTCTAAATACTTTATAATAGAATTAAATTTAATATATTATAAAATACATCTGAAGCAAATTTGTTTAAAAGATTGATTTTTATTTCTTGTAGGCATTTTTTTAAGTACTTGCACCTATTGTACAAAGCTCATCATGTCCTTGTGGCTTATGTTAAACAAAAGTTTTCTACATTTTATTAACTGGGAAACATTCATCATATAAATAGATTTTTTTCTTGGTTTTCGTAATACCTAAAACAGGTGCCATATACAACATTTGCCATAGTGCTGCGCGAGTTAAGAGAGTTTCGATACTTTGTAATACTTAAGCAGTCAATAGACAAATTGAAGGTCAACTATTGATATTAGATGGTATTAAGTACTCTATCAAAAGAATATTCTTTAAAACGTTACCAAATTCCTTGTAAGCCCATAGAAACGTTTGGATAAATTTCAAAATCTTAGCAAAAGCTGGCTAAACTACTTTATGAAAAGGCACTTGGTAGGTGTTTTTCTCTATTTTTTTTTCTTTGTCTAAAACGCACTATTGTTTAACTAACTATATAAGCTAGCTGTCATATTTTCAACTCCAGGAGCTTCTCGTCCACATGTGATTGCTTAGCTTGTGTTATTTGTGATGTCTTTATACCTTTAGCCAGCTCCCAGCTGCCAGCCAATTTAGTAGCTGGGTCTGAAGCCATTGCGCTGCGAAAGCACCGAATCGGGACTCTTGAGCTCCATGGCCAGCTTATAGCCTAGCTCGGGGCGACGATCCCGACCCTCAGCCATGGCTTTGACCTGCAGCATTTTAATTGATTATTACGTAAATTAATTAACTAGTATCGCCCACTATGACTCACCGCATTGGTGTGCACAATGACCCCATCGCTGGTCACCACCTTCTCCTTGGTGTGCTCGATGTCATGGAAATCGGTGCCTCGGCAACAGTCATCTATCAAAATGGTGCGATAGCCGGCGGATAGAGCATCCACAGCCGTTGCGCCTACACAGACATCATAGGCCAGGCCGCACACATAGATATCCGTGGCGCCCTTCATTTTAAGCTGTGCATTCAGCGTGGTATCCGACAGTTTCTTATTGTCCCAGAATACCGAATACGAATCCACCTCGGGATTGGTGCCCTTGTACACCTTGATGCCATGATCCACCACTTTCAGGTCCTTGTGCAGCTCAGCACCCCACGAATCCTGCACACAATGACGCGGCCACAGGCGCTGCTTCATCGGCGGCGGCCCAGCAAAGATGACCGTATCAAAGACCTTGGCCGAATCGGCATCCAGCTGTGTTTGAGTATTTTAGCGAAGTGTATTAGAAATTGGCCAAAACCAAACTTAACAGCATGATATTCTAGTCAATTGAATTCATCTTAAACTAGGTCACAAAACTTTTGTTCTTTACACTTCAAATGCGAACTTTAAGCAAAGCAATTTAAAATGAACAAAATCAATAGCCACCACTCAGACTTTGACTAATCTAGCTAATAATTAAGTCATTTGTTTTCTATAGAATTCGAAAAAGAATTGCAAAGCTTTCTTATGAATCATTATACTTAAAAATAAACTTGGCAAGCTGTCATACACAATTATATGATTTCTCTACAAGTTGTCAACTAACTACAGTTAAGTTTTTATTATTAAATTCGCAAGGAGAATATTCTTAATTTATAATTCCGTCTACTTTTTTCGGAAGTCAAATATATATATACTGTCGGGCAGTGCTTGGCTTTGCCTAGGCCGAGTTTTTCTTCAAATTTTATGCTTCATCTTGACCGCGCACTTCGCTCATAGTTAATTTAAGTTTCCTGGGCTACTCGTGAGCCCCATTTCCACTCGGTGAAGTGGACTTTCTGCAATCGGTGAATCACGTTTTAAGTGATTTCACATACAAATTGACGCATCGCCCATACAACTTTTGCTCCCAAATTCCCAATCAAAAGTGTATAAAACGTCTAAAATAAATTTTCATAACGCTGTTCGAAAGTTGCTTAGATTTATCAGTAAACAAACCATTTTCACCTATTTTTCACAGTTGAGAGTGGAAGTCGTAAATTTCTCATTGAGTGCGTTGATAATCAATCTGTCCATCAGTTAGGAGGTCAAAACAAAAGGGTATTATATATTATATATGGTTAAAGATGCAAAGTCATAGTTCTCCGTTTCTAATCATACAACTCGTCTGATATGAAATAATTACTTTATATTCAAGTGGTATCTTGCACTTAACTAAAGTATTCGAACTATGAATCTATACTCACCGCAGATGATTCGTCCATGGGCCGCATTTTGACATTATCAATAAATGAAACATGATCGCTGGGATGCCAGTCGAGCGAGTAGAAGACAGCATCAAAATCCACCGTATCCAACAGCTTGTTAATGGGCTCGAGTATCTGCAAGAGAGCAAAAGGCGCGCGGCCATTGGATAAATTCCAAAAAGATAACACAAGTAGCAGGCAGGCTGGGGTGATGGGGAGTGGTGTCACGTCTGTGAGTCTGAGTCCATAAAGCGACAACGGAAGTGTGTGTTATTAATTTTGACAAATTTTCATGTTCGAGTGAGAAGCAAGTGAAGTGCCCGGCCAACAAGTGCACCACAGACAGGGGCGCATTGGCTGGGCGCGCGGGTCGAGCGGGTGCACCGTCAATTGCGGCAGATGGCAGCGATGGGAATGCCAGGAGCTGATGTCGATGCTGATGTTCTCGGGCACGGGCACGGGCTCGGGGCTCTCGGCTCGGCAATGGCGGCGGCGGCTGCCGCTGACGATGACATCCGGCGTATGTCGCAGCGCGGATGCGACTTAAGTAAAGCATATCCGCTTCCGACTATGCACACGCACACAGCTACAGCTACAGCTAAAGCACAGATACAGATACAGATACAGGCACAGCTACAGTATCTTTGGGGGTATCTGAGGGGACGCACCGGGCTGACATGCAGAGCGAGCCTCATCTTCGGTGTCGTCGTCGTCGTCGTCGTCTTCCTCGTCCTCGTTGGCGGCAATGACTTTGGCTCATCCTGCGCTTCGCTTCGTTGCCTCCATTTTCATTTCTTGTTACGTTTTATGTCTTTCCGTCGCCGCATACCTGCCAGCTCCCTCTGCTTCTGCCCACGCCCCGCCCACCTGCTCCTTATCAGCTGAGCTGCTGCCCTGTCTGTGGCCACAACTCACGACTCGCAGCTGCCAGCTTCAATTTTTATTTTTTTTTTCTTTTACCAGCAACTCCGGGGCTCACCTCATGTCCTTGCTGCTGTGCACTGCAATTACTTATATCCAAGGAACCACTTATAAAATCATTTTGTACATCAACAATGAGAAACGCGTTCACCGGTCGCACAATCTGCCAAGAAAGTGAAAGAGAGAGAAAGATAAATTTATATAGAATTAAACAGAGAGAGAGAACCAAATACAAGAAACTTGCATTTTAATCAAATTTCCGACTTTGAAATGCTCTAATGTGCTGGTAATATTTTTTTTAAATTTTTATAAAATGCGATATGGTCATCAGATCTTAAGTAAAGTCTGTTATAGAGTATGGTATTAAACCGTAAAAAAATATGTTTCATATAGTAAATTGTAAGACATTTAATATAAATAAAAATAGGGAAGTTTGGTTGAGTTATCTATAAACATATCAAAGTAAAAAGTTATTTTTTTAATGTCCGCTGTATGCTTTAGCAGCTCAATAAAGATCAAAATTGTTTTTAAGTATAATAAAATTAAAAATGGGTTACATGTCTTAAGTTAACTAAACAAAATAGTTTTCAACCGCCAAAATTTAGAGCTTTATAGGAGGTCTATGGTACAGAAGTCTTTATAAAAGACAAAAATATAATTTAAATGCTTTGTTTAGCATGTCTTTTAAAACAACAGTTGTCGCATATAAAATATAAGTTCCCGTCCGATTCCTTCAATGGCAACTATATGATATGCTTATCCTATCTGACTTCCAGACTAAAAAACAGCATGTAGTTTTATTAAGTTAGCTTCGCTGAGGGTCGAGCTCGCATAGGCTGGCGATAAGAGAACCAGACAATTAAGCTGCCTAATCAAGACTATATGTATGTCAAAACCTAATTATTATTTTTGAAATATTCTTGACAGTTTCATAATACCCCAACTGCTAGGGTATTAAGATGGTAACATGAGCAGCCACGAAAAATGTGTAAGAAAATTGTATGGGCAAAGTGAAGCAGACGCCGCAAAAGACGTCGGGCCAAAGTACATAAGCACAAACATGAAAAGCTACAAAGAAATTTGTATACATGTGCATTAGCGGGTGTGTGTGTGCGAGTGTGTGTGTGTTTTGGTGTGTGCACAAAATTTGTGTGTGTGCGCTGATGAGTTTCTTCATTTTATTCATTTTTTTTCTTCTACTTTTTGCTCTTCTTTTTTGTCGCCGCCCATTATAAATGCGATTTAAATGAAGTAAAAGCCAGTCAAAAAAGCTCTCGAAAAAACGCTTCGCACACACATGAGAGCAAAGAGCTCGTTAGGTTTGCCATTGCTATCTTGACTGGCAGCCCAGAGCTATATAGAGTACCCAGCATAGAGTATAGCAGTAGAATAGACTATCATCAGCAGCAGCATCAGCCGGAGCAGCAGGAGCAGGAGCAGGAGCCTCAGCATCCTCGACAGCGTTCGTCGTCTAAGCTGATTATGTTCGAGCATATTTAAAATTAGTGAAGCGCTTTTAATTTGTTATTTATGTGCACGCTGATTATGAATGATTATGATCTATGCGCAAACACACACACACACAGACGCACAGCAGTCGAAGCAGAGACACACTCTCAGACACACACACACACTCACTGACTGGAACTGAAGCGGGAATAGAAAGAGCAGCAGCCCATTAGCGTCAGCACGTTGCAAGCATCAGGCAAAAGTGAGATGGTTGCGTGACACGAGTATCACATATCGTGCTCAAACTTGCAACGCACATTCTATAACGATTAATCTTATATTAGAACAAATTAGTAGAATAGGTTTAGTAATGGCATCGAAACTTCATTAAAAGATGAGCATTTTACTTCATATAAATAATGCATAATTATTGGAAATTGTTTGGGGCATGGTTGAAAAGTTTAACATTTCTATCTTATTAGCTTCCCCAAAGAATTTAAAAATAAAATTTTCTTTTGATATAACTTTTTTAATTCGGAAAACTAACCTAAACTAACTAACTAAACTTATCAGATATATGATTGACATATTCATACATATTTTATGCTTTACTATCTTGTTAAAAGAATACATTGTAAAATAACAGTGTTAAATTTCAGGGATTTTATAAATTTTCTATTTCATATTTTTCGCCAAAACTATATACACTATATACGGTATATTCGAATTAGTCACTATATTATAATTAATTATGCAACTTCTTGAAATGTTTCTTAATTAATTTCACTTAATTTCTTTTCGCAGCTGAATTAATTTTACTTGGAGATATCAGGCAGTATAAAATATGTATGTAAGTACAGGATTAGATTAATAAGTATATATATAATACTTTTTCTATATATTCTCTGGAAATTTATTTAAAGTAACCGAAAGAGAGCTTCTGAAGAACTTAGATATATCAGAGCCAGTAGCACATTATTATCTATAGAAAAAACTTCACTTTAATTTAATTAGATTATTTTTGAATATATGTAACATTTTGCTTCAGAAATAATTCTCGTTATTGTTGAAATAAATTTAAATGACGCCAGCTGACATTTTTTGAGCAGCTTCCAGCTTTGTTTGCTTATAAAGAATCTGCGATTTCAATATCAGAATGTCAGGCCATTTTGCCATCTCTAGAAATCAGAATTATTTACCGCTTGTTGTTGCCCAGCTTTGATTTGTGTTGCTGTTGCAACTGTTGGCAGAGCGTTTAAAATATGTCATCCAGCTAAATGCTTTAAAGCGGCCAACGTGAGTTGCAGCAGCAGCAGCAGCAGCAGCAGCAGCAGGTGGCACGCAAATGGAGCTGTGCGGCAAAGATGGGAGTGGCCGCTGGGTGGCGCTGCGCTGAAAGGTTAGCTTGTTGTTGCTGTTGTGGGGCAGACAACGCTTAAGCAGTTGATGATTTATCGCCCGTTGCCGTTGCCAGTGGCTATGGCTGTGGCAACTGGCAGTGGTAAGCATTAGTGCCTCTTGCAACACCGTGGTGCAGCGTGGTGCAATGCCGTCGCATAGTTGCGGAAGTGATTTACATTTCGCATGTTGGGCATACGACGCATTTTGAGCATAGTTTTGGGTTAGCATACTTAGAGATAATGGCCGGATAAAGGTAGTTAATGTATCAATTTGGTTGTACAAGTCTGCCTTGGTGTGTCTGTGCACGCGCGCGCGAGTGTGTGAGAGTTGTTCTGGGGCTTAACATTTATCACGCACGGGATTAGATGTGCTCCGGAATGGCTTAGCAGGCCATAAGGGGCTCAAAGTTGAAATGCTCTGCAAGGTAATAAGTGGGTAGTTGCATGCCGGAACTAGTGGAAATTTCTAGATAATATATTGTTTTTCTTATGACCCACATGGGAAAACCTTGTTTAGTTCAGGAATAATAATTTGTAACATTTTGTTAAGTGTCAAAAACATAATTTGTATTGATTGTTTTCAACATAAGCACACTTTTCATAGATACTTCTATGGAAATCTTGTTGATATTTTGGCATTATTAAAAGTATTTAGAATTAAAATTTAATGATGAAAGTTAATAGAACTTTAAATAGTACTGGCTGCTGAATATTTCAACATTATGAGGCTTAAAAACTTTTGAATAATTGGGTCTATTAGACAATTCACAAACTATCGAATTTGTGAGTAATATATTTATATATATGCCATATATATATTTCCTCTAAAGAATATTTATACATTTTTATTTTATTTTACCAAATGGATGTGATATTTAAAGATATAAAAACAATATCGAAATACATTACAAAAAAATAATAACTTTATGATAATATTGTTCATGGATGTTTGGATTATATATTTCTGCTTATTATAGTATTCTTCAAATAATTGCTCGTATATTTACTTTTTTTCATATATTATAGTATCTACAAAAAATACGTTTCCCTTCATCAAAATAGTCATCATAAATTTATAAATTTCAGTTACATCGTCTTACTCCTCATCACTCCCGGCATTGCCATTCTCATTTGCCTTCGCCGCACACTCAATTTTATCAATTAATTGTACAGCGCCTAATTGTTCAACTTGGAAAACCTTCCCCAGTTGACCTCAGACAAGTCCGTCCATCTATTTTGGGCCACAATTTGCACATGAAATTCGCTCACCTCAAAGAGGCTTCGCCACAAGAAATCAGAGCAGCAGCCATCCAATTATGAACCATTTGACGCAGCTGCTGTTGATGCTGATGAGCCTGCCTCTGTCCTTTTCCCCTGCCCTGATCCACTCAATAGCCGAAGTAAAGTTGGCAAATTAACACGCACCTTATCCTGTTGCTGACTCCTGTTCCTTTGCTTTGGCTAATGCAAACAACTGACCCTTAGCCCAGGCACTTATTGTTACCGCCGCCCCCGTCCCTCAACGGCCCTGTCGCCACAGTTTAATTTAAAGTTGAAACTATGAATACTTGATTAAAGTGCCAAGAAATGCTTGCAGCTTAAAGCGTAGCTAAAGCCACAGGAATGGCAAAGGCGCACGCCTCTTCGAGACGGCAACAGGACAGACAGAAATCCTGTTCATTCATTTGGCTGGCAAATATGTTACAGCTAAATTAATTATTGAGCGTCGAGCACAGGGCCCACAGACACGTTGTGGATGTGACGCCCTCCTTCCTTCGTACACCAATCGAATGGCTCTGCGGGGTGCGGAGCCTGCGGTACGTGCGGCCAGGACAAGACACGACACCTTTTTGGTAACCACAGCAAATCTTAAATTCAAATTACACTTCAACCCGATTCTGTCAGGGTTGCAACAAAGGGAACAAGTTATAGAAATAACTTTGCTACATCTAGCTCTCTCTCTCTCGCTCTCTCTCTCTCTCTCTGATTTGGTCTCTGGCGGCAGTGGCATGTGTGCATGTTGAAAGTTTCCGTCTTTTGGCTGCTGCCATGCAACATTTCGAGTCAATTTCAGTGCTGAATAAATTTCAAAATCCGTAAAACCCATAGAGCCGACGTTGTTCGGCGAGTGAGGGGCTTTTTCTGCCCGAGCCGCAGACAAACTGTCAAAGTGTGTGTGCGCGTGTGTGTGTGTGTGTGTGTGTGCCAAAAAAGTTGCCAAGCCAAACGAATGAGTACGGCAAATGGTGACGTCGACAAGGACCAAGCGAAGGACGAGACGATGGCGCACACGAATCGAATGAAATTCAACGTG